AGCTCGCATACGTATCTACCATGCGTGTACGCAAGTTGCTGAAACCTGGGTTACACCCGCGTTGCTCGTACCCACGACATAATACGGTGGTATTAAATCCATCACACGTGCAAAGTAAGGGATATATGTATTTTAAAAGCTGAAAAACCGAGAAATTTCATTCACGAATCCATCAGAGGGATGAAAATCAGGGAGGGGAAAAGTTGTTCTGTTTCGAGAGCCTGACAATATAATAGTACTTCGTGCCAGACTACACGGCCAACGCCACACCTCCTCGGCTGTTTGTACGAAGAAAAAAATGTAATGCCAATTTGAAAACCTCCCCCTCCTCTTTCCCACAGGCGTGACGAGACTCGATAGAATACCACGAGCCCTCAGCGGGTACTTATCGTGCGCTGGTGTCGCGCATTAGGTATTTGAGTGAATGAGAAACACGATATTACGTGGGTAGAGGGACGGGGGGTGTCGTCGACCGTGAACGACTGGATAAGAGCACTTTACCCACGTACTGCCATTACGATACCCACGAGAGAGAGAGAGAGAGAGAGAGTTGGTGTACCACCGAGGGGGGTCTAGACCCGCCAATGCCCATCAGTTTTGATGGATACACGTATACTGTATCGCTATGTATGTGTTTTTTTTTCTCTTCTCTATTTTTAGTAGCAAACGATCGCGCGAATCGAAGATAAAACAAGAGATTCTCCGCTCTCTTGTACAAAGCTGCCAAACATTATATTTCGGGTTCGCATCGCTATATGCTTGATTGTTCATCGTGGCAATGTTTCCGCCAAGTCCCGTTATTTACGAGATAAAGGGGGATATACAGAGGAGCTATCGCCAAGTCACGCGAGACAAAGACAAATATACTCCTCCGTTGACGCGATAGAAAATCGGTCCACGTTATCCCATCGGCTATAAATGGCCATTGCAAAATAGCCCGGTATCGATTGGGTTTCATACATCGTTATCTGCCAGTGGCTGGGGCGGAGCAGCAAAGTGGGATCTGGAGGTGTAACAATCGCCGGATGGAAAGGCGCGTGTACCTGTACATCCTTGTCGAGATGACTCGATAGCTCGACACGTTGCGAAAGGGAACGGCGGATACGTCTCACTGTGGGATCGATATCGCTCGTCCATACTTGACGTGGTCGGATCTAGAGTAGCTGCGTAAATCATGAATCAAGATCTTTCAAACTCCCTAATATAATTTCGTGAGGTGCACAGAGAAGGTCAGTCTATCGATCGGTGGATTTACCCGACATTCGGCTCTGGATGAACCTTTATTTTTTCTTTTCTTCTTTGCTCCCAACCACGGAGCTCCTTTAAATAATTCTGTAGTGTACCTTTGGCCGAATGACGTACTTGCCGTGTACGCTGTTTCAACCTCATTACTGGCGAAACTTCGAGTACAATGGAAATCGATTCGCCGCTCCGTCTGACTATTGATTTGCCTTTACTACTTGCAACAATACCGGCTCGTGGAAGTGCGGCATTGTTTAGGGGAGGGAAAAATTAGTTTCGAGGTGATGAATGGTATCTTTATTTTGACGCATATCCAATACAAAATTTAAATGAAATTGGTGTAAATTATTATTCGCTTAACGACGCAAGTGAAGAAAAATGAAAAATAACGTAAAATTGGAGCGACAGTGAAAAAAAATGCTCCAGGTAGGTAGGGCTCGTAGAGTATCATGAGACCAAGGGTTTTACAGGCACTCGGTCAGAATTTTTCCTAACCACGCGTGGAAGACCTTTTTTTCTCTCCATACAGTGTAAAAAAAAATTTCGTATTCGCGGAGAGGAAAGATATATAACGCACGTGGGTCAAAATGAAAAATAATTTCCAAGGGCTCGTATATCCGTTCGCGTGGCATTTGACGTGTTTTTAACGGAGGGCTCGTAAAGAGCTGTGGCGCTTTACGACGAGCCCCGTCACTCTTTGTTATTCCGCTTCTTCTCAGCTCGTGTCTCCGCGAGGATGAAAGCCTTTTGGATTTCTAGTACTTCTCGCGCACTGTAAACTCTGTTTTATGGACACCACCGAGTGTATCATCTTCGCCGGGAGTTGTAAGAAATTAAGTCGACTCTTGTATATTTTCTTTGCATCATTATTTTCACTTGCATTATTCCGAGGTTGAGAGTGTACTTTTCGTACAAAAGAACGGAATAAAATTTCCCGGGACCATTCGACCTCGATTATACATGGGACAAAAGTTTGGAAATAAAATGCTTTTTTACGGGCTTCCGCTTCTCCTTTCGCTCGAGGATGGATCGACGCGCCCTACCGGTTGCTTCATTTAAATGGTTTCCAAGTTTTTCCCGACCTCCCGTCGCACGTAAAATGAAATTTCTCTCCACGAAAACTCGGATTAAGAAAGTTTTTTCCCCCGGAAGGAACGCTTTTGACGATACTTTTTCGCCCTCCATTGAATTCGTGGATAAATTTTTCAGAAAAAAAAAAAAAAACACACACACACACATTATAGACCGCGAAACGTAAACTTCGAGCTTGGATCTCCGGCTGGTATTAAAAGTTATGCCGTCGTCGCGTTGGGAAATTCTTTGGTTTTTTTTTTTTTTTTTTTTTTCAAGATATACGAGTTAAACACTTTGTCAATTTGGACACCAGCTTCAAGGGTGAGCAACGAAAATATTTTAATCAAGGTAACGTATATGCCGCGTCGTTTCTCGAGTCTCGTAAAATTGTCAATAACGTTATGAATTTCCTTTGGACGAACATTGCACTCGTGATTCCTTTGAGCTTCGCGTTACAAAGACCTCGATCGTCGGCTCTTGACGAGTAATGAAGTTTTCTGGCTGGAAAACTCGAGGAGCTATATATCTTGTCTCGTGCGCTGACCTTTTTTCCCCCCAACTAATTAACTTTTATTTTCCAAGAGAAAATATACCCTCGTACCTTTGTACAATTTCCATCTTACCGTAGCTCTCGATTCCTGTGCTGAAATATCTTCCCTGCTAATTTTCATCTGTTCAGCCACACCCATTAGCACCACTTTCATTTTGAAGTAACGAAATCCATTACACTATAATAGGATTCCCGGGGAGCCGCGCCTCGGTTAAAGCGTCACTCTCGCGTGCGTGAGGCGGACAATTAGAGGCGAGCTACCACCTCTCGCTTGGGCCTTTTTTTTTTTTGTTTTTTTTTTTTGCTAACGAGACTCGGTACACTCAAACATCCCTCAAGACGTCGCGTCGCTCGGAACGTGATTTCACTCATTTTCCTCTTGCTAATTGGACTTGGCAGCGAATTTCCATCCGATTCCCCGTCTTAAGCAAAGAGATTGTTTTGTTTTCCAACTCAACAGTAGCATTTCTCGTATCAAGGTGATAAATCATTTAAAAAAAAAGTATATTTATTTAATTTTAGTCGAAGGCGCAGATAGGGTGGGAGGGAAATTCCCCGACTGCGAGGGGTACCAAATACTCTGGGCGCGTTGAAGCGACACCGTGAAAAAAGCGAGTTTATTCAAGCGTCCTCATAAATATTTATGCACCGATGCCGTCCTCGGCTGATTACGAGATGATTCATATCGTTTTGTTTGCTTCGAACGAGCCCCACCATATTTACGTTGAATCCCTATATACGTGGAACTTTGGCCCTTTTAAAAAAAAATATCCGAAATTGGAAAGATCCAACCCACGAAGCTCGTACTTTTTCCTTACCGTGGTACAGTTTGATAAAAAGTGTACTCCAGGAGGACTGCGCACGTATACGTATCCTTCCGTAGTAATTAGTGAAGCTACTCTTGCGGACCGCGAGCAGAGAAAGGACGGACTGTAGGGCAGCTTTCGGATGAGTTCAGGGAAAAGGATGAATTTTTCATTCGTAAGGTGTTTTATTTTTGGAAAGTTGGGGGAATACGCGTATACGCGCCGTTTTTTCCTGATGGATGAAAAAACTTGGCGTGGGTGTACCGCGTACGTAGGGCCGAAAACCACCGTGACTTTTTTATGCCCACTTAGATGATCTCGTCAATAAAACACCGAAGGTCCAGGTGTATATGTATACCATATCGTAAATCACGTACGTTAAATGCTCCGTGTATGTTTACACGGTGGTACGGATGTACCGACACGGCTATGAGATCGGGAATAACAAGCAGCGTGGCATCAATAATAAATGGTCCGATCGATGGTATGGGATGTGCCAGTGAGAATCGAGCCGTGTATACACCCTATGCCGAAATGAAAAAAAGAAATAACAAAAACATGGAGGCCAGAAACAAATTCATCGTAGTATATCAGCACGTACCTATACCAACCGAACGAGGCCCATCCGAGGGGAAAGAGATAACGCGGTTAACGTCCATCACACGTGGTTGGTTCATCAATTGATAGTGAGCAGAAGCCCGTGCACGTGGGGCTGAATGTTTGTACCCAATTTGTTTTTTTTTTTGGTTTTTTTCCTCTCCCTAACGCACGCGCCGTGGCGTGCATAAATCGTCGTGGGAAGGGGAGGGGGTGAAAAGAAAAAAAAGGCACGCGCACGTGTTGTACGCACGAGGGAGAAGAAAAAAAATCCAGCTGTATCGATTCTTGAGTGCACAGAGACGGAGATGGAGGATCGGAGAGGCTAGCAACAGTGTATACCCAATGCGCACACCTATATACGTACTGGACGTGTTTGCTCGCACGCGTGCTTGCATTGTCGCCTGAATGGAGTACGGGAGCGCGGCTGATGCGTCGCCGACGAGTGTATCAAAACCCACGTCTCTCTTGGTTTTTACAGCGAGTGGGTTTTTAAACGAGGTACAAACAGTAAAACTTTCTCCTACGGGGCATCGTTTACAGACAATCTTGTCTTTTTGTGAATTTAACCACGCCTTTTTGTTTCGTTCCCAAGGATACCTTGGGACTGTATAGTGTTATTTATCTCTTTCGGCTGATTTTTTATCCTTTTCATGAATACCAATGAGATATTATTTATTGCCGGTGATAAGTAACAAAAAAAAAAAGAATCACTTTTTGTTTTGTTTCAGCACCACGTCGGCGACGATCTCTCCCTGCGCGGGTCCTTGGTGTAAATTTAGGTGAGAAGCATAACAAATCCTTCCATTTATAAATCACGTCCCTCGGAGCGACGCCCACACCTCTTGCGCGTAAATTGTCGGGTTGGCTCTCAAATCCTTTAAAATTGAAAGGCGCAGAGCACTCGGTCACCCCCCGATGATATTATCTCCCTCTCTCTTAAATAAATTTCCCTTTGAAAGTGCCGATCGGTATGGAAAAAGAAAACGTCTCGAGCAAATTGAAAAACTCGTCAACAGCGGTACACACGACGGAGGAGAAGGAGAACAGGGTATAGTGCGAGCATTCTGAGTTTCCCGGGACTCTCTCGTGTGGAGTTGCAAAGCTTGGGCACACAGGACCGGGCGTAATCAGCTTTCTCGTCTGGATTAGCGGGATCACCCTTGCCACGGCACAAGCTACGGGTGTGATCACAACCAGAGTGTCTCTCGGGAACTGGGAAACCAAAGTGGGAGTCTTTGTACGTCATTTGGAAGGATTGCGCTGAGGATTCACCGATGTACGCACCGAGAAAAGCAGTATTTTTTTTTTTTTTTTTTTTTGCCATCACAATACCATACATCTCGTTAATCTACGCAAAGCAATTACAGAGCTCTTTCGCAAGAAACAAGATCCTTACCCGAAATCACGTTAGTCGAGCATTAATTCAGCAACCCATTAGGTTAATAGCCAGAGGGAGCAGAGCTAAGATTACACTTTTTGCAGTGCGCCACTTGGCGAGCAGACTCGCAAGAAATGACCATGAATGCTCAACGGCAGTAATTTGTTTCGCTGCAAGAAGTGCTGTACTCGCGCGGACACACGAAAGCTTTAGTCCAGGGTCCTTTTCTTTTTTTTTTTTTTTTTTTTTTTTTTTTCCCATGCCTCGATCGAACGGCATATACTTTTTCCCCTGTAGTCAACTGCAGTCAAGGAGTGTTTTTTTTTTTTTTTTTTTTTTTTGTAACCCCCACCTTTCCTCTTGTTGGATTTAGTGGTGAAAAAAAAAGTACGCATTTAACGTGCATTTACTGAAATGTACGTACTTTAAGCTCTTTTTGGTTTAATCGTGAAATATAAATATGTATATATTTCCAAACGGTACTAATGTGCTTTTTTTTCAAAAATTATTTTTCCCTACCCGTGAAATATGCTAATCCGCATAATTAGAACGTGTAACTATATACACATGCACGGATTATACGAACACGCGTGTGGGTATTAACTGGCGTCCAACGAAAAGCCAGTGCGTCTGACCACAGACCGACCTACACTACTTGGAAGAACTAAAAATCCCCCCGTCCGGTTCCATCAACGTATGGAAGAAAAAAAAGAAAAAGCGTCACATCTCTTTTGACGATCGCGATGACGAATAACAAGGGAAAAGTTGCAAACCTATACATTTAATATACATATATTGCGATGGGAAATTTATCAAAACGAAGTGCGAGCTCGTTTCATTAGGCTAAGCGCTCCATTACGAAACGCGGTTGGGTCTACGTATACATATATGTATACACATATAGGCACTCGAATATAAGCAGTCGCTCGCACCCTCGCTGTACGTTTTCAGACAGCCGGCCGAAATGACGCTATGCCAAAGTGTACTCCCCCACTCGGAGGGAGGGAGGTGTGTGGGGCAAGTTTATCGCGAACTTTAGCAGACATTTGGCATTCCACCCCTGAAGCGAAATTAACTTCAGAGCCAAAGTTGTGTACTCCCTGCGCTCGTAAATTCGAGCGTTAGTATTGTCCCGCGATTGGTTACAGTTGACGAAGAAGGGCGCAGGTGTGGGTGCTACGGAACGACCCGTATTTGAGCCCTCGAGAATATTCGTACGGATGGTTTCTCATGTTGCATAGAAGAAGAAAAGTTGGGCTTTTTTTTTTATTTCATGTACAGTTTTGTCGGGGCACAATTGGGTTGAATTGGCCTCGCTGCTAAGATTTCGTTGGGTTTGAAAAAAAAAAAAAAAAAAAAAAAAAAAAAAACGAGTCACCTTGGAATATACACAGGACTGGGGAGGTTTAAAAATGTATCCAGTTGTACGCGAGCAAAGTAATTAGCGCGACTGGATAAAATGTTCACCTTAATTGAACTCGTGGTGATGGATTGAAAAGTTTCCTTTGTCTGCCGGGTTTCTTCTCCACGGGTAGGATGAGGGGCTTCGCGTAACTAGATTTAGCGTGTACAAACGTCTCATTATGCAACTACTCGCCGACTGGGGTATGCGTGTCAGGGCGCACGAAATTAACTGCCTTGGCTCGCGGAACTTGCGCTGTTGAATTTATAAACTTGGCTTCATCGTCACAGTTTGTTTGTTCGGTGTCTTCGTCGCGTTAAATTACCCGCGTACGTGCGCGCCCGAGCACATACGGTGGAAAAAGTTGACGAAACGAACGAGGCAACGCGTCAGTGACTATACGCTTCTTTGTGATAAAATATGCTTTCAAACAAAATGGTTATGACACATTTTTAGGTTTGTTTTTAAGAAGCTTTTTTATTTTTTATTTTTTCACACCTCTTTTACGTACAAGGTATATTGTTTTGTTGAACAAAAAAAAAGAACCGATGCATAAATATTACCGATACTAAAAGTAATTGTTTCTAGCGATGAATAAAATAATGATAAACGCAAACCACCCGATGTTCGCGAACTTTTATTTGTCCTCTCTGTTAAGCTTCCCAGTGAGGAAAAAAAAAAAAAAAAAAAAAAAAAAATCTACTGTCAAGCTTGAAAAAGAAAAAGGACCGTGATTTCCCGCAAATCGTCGCTTACGCGCTACTTACAGCAAAGTTTCTTTCTCCTCTGGCGAAAAGCGGCGCTGCGTCCAATGGCAAAAAGAGAATCAGCTGACAAACGCGTGACGAGAATCCTTTGTTCCATCCGATGTACTTCCCGGAGCTCAGCTCGGATGGAGACACGCTTTTTTTCCGACTGACCCCTTTATTTAGCACCACGACCGAAGTGGCCCGTCAAAATTGATTCGGGATCAACGATCCCCGGGCACATTACCGTGCCACCCCCACTACACACGCCTCCCCCGCAAAGTGCAGAGCGAACGTAACCGGCACCGCTCGCTTTAACCGTCAAAGCAAGCTTTGTGCAGACTCGGCGAGAAGTATATACATATAAACCCCTTCGTGTAATGGCTCGGGTGCGGATTTAATGGTTGCAGGGGCTTTTTGCGCCTCCGATCTGTTTGAGATTCGCGCGGTCCCATGGCAAAGCGTTTCGGTTCTTCGAGCTCTTCAACAACTTATTCGCGGAAACTCAAGGTGGAGACGAAGAAAGTTACGGGGAGCTAAAACTGCTTCAAAGAGTAGCTGCTTTTGTTTCCATTGTAAGGATCCTCCACGAAGCTGCTTATCATCACGTTGACTATTGTTGTTTTTTTCCTCGCGTCCCAAGTAGCCGCGATCGCGAAAATATAATCGAGGCGTCGCTTCCACGCCAACGAGTTTTCTCGAGAAGCGATACCGGGGTAGGTCACCCGACGGAAAAGAGTCGGCGGAGATGAAAAGAAGCTGGAAGGGGGGAGATGAGCCGAAAAGTTGGAGTACTCCTAACCGGCAGAATGGACAGTGTGTGTGTTCGCGTCCAGGAGTCGATCGATCTTCCTCCTCCTCCTCCTCCTTTACACAGACGGGGGCCGCGCACATGTGTATATGGGTGGAGAGGCTCTGCGCGTCAGATTTTCAGGTCAGAAGGTCGCGGGCTAAATGACGTAAAAAGAGAGAGAGAGAGGCGTGCAGGGCGCGAGGGAGGATATGTTTGCATCCGTCTGTCTTGTCTGGGCTCCCAACCGAGTCCCGGCGTGCAGTTGGCTCGACCGTACAAAACCAGATGTGCACATAATCATGCAAAATGAGACGAGTTTCTCAAGCGTCTACCGGTGCCCGTCGATGCAACTCGAAGAGTCACTCTATCCCATCTCCGTTACTAATACACGGATGATTGTTGACGAGACAAGCATCAATCGCATTCAGATAAAACGGCTGAAAGAAGAAAAAATAGGCTTGAGCAACAAATTTTACAAAATTTCGAATGAGCGCCAAATTGAAATTGGGGTTGTTGCTTGGCGCTATATTACCTTGATGTTAATTTTGTTTTTGTTTGTTAATCTTCAATATAATTGCTCGGCAAGTAGAGAAGTAAAAATGTTGGTTACACCCAGTGGGTGTATATCCTCGTAATTACGTTTATAGACCGAGAGAAGGGAGAATATACATTTCATTTGATTAATTACGGCGCGCCACTACGCGTGAGCACACTTTGGCAGTATATACTTTTGTTTTTCCAACTAATTGTCCGGAGCTTAATGAGATTGAATTATGATCAATCACATGGGAGGTTTTTCTTTTTTTTTTTTTTTTTTTTTTTTCTCTTTTACTTGCTACGTGTACTTAATTAGATGTGCGATCGATGAGGGGAGAGAGGTGAAAATACGTACACGATACGTTGAAAGCTCGGTGCGTCACAGCTGCCGTATAGGCTTCGCGCAACCACTCAACGCGGGATAATCGCCCATCGTGGCCTTTAAACAGTCTCAAATATTTGGGTCAGAAGGGCAAGTGCTACAATATTAGTGTTGATCGCAGAGAGCTATGAGGTAATATGGTGAGCCTTTAGACCATAGGTATACCTACCCCCCGTCTGATTAACCGTAGTAGGTATTGCTCGGGACGCGAATTATTGAATTTTAGTATTATTAACTCTGAGGATCATTGAAAGGGCCAATGGTACAGCTGTACGAGACAATCTCAACTTGAGCGTAAATACACGGCGCCAAGATGTTGGAGGGGTAAAGGCAGGATGTTTATATCAATCAAACTTTGGTAACTTGGGTGACTTTGGAGTCCTCCTGCCCACAGCGCAAGAGACGCCAAAACAGATAGTCGCTCGCGAAACTTTACCCCCCCCCCCCCCGTTGAGTTCAACTTTGTGTGTAATCGCGCGCAGAAGTCGGTGTATGATAATCAAATTAGACGATCTCGACCGTATATGGGGGGACACGTTGG